GTAAAGCAGAGGCAATTGCCAGAATTAAAGGACAGGAAGAGGAAACGAAACTCAAGTGTCCATCAACAGACGGGTGGAAAAACAAAATGTGGCATATCCATACAATGGAGTATTATTCAGCAATGGAAAGGAAGAGAATTCAGGCTACTCTGGGGATGGACACAGAAGATTCTATGCTGTGTGAAATGATCCATGCATGACCAATATTGGAGGGTTCAACTTGTATAAGAAAACTGGATTAGTTTGATTCGGAGACAGAGAGCAAAATGGTGGTGGCCAGGGGTTGGGGGGAGGAGGAAATGGGGAGTTATTATCTAAAGGGCCAGAGTGTCACTTTGGAAAGATGAAATTGCTCCGTATATAGGTGGTGGTGATGGCTGCACACCATGTGAATGCACTTATTGCCCCTGAATGGCACACTTAAAAATGGCCAAAATAAAAAAACAGAAAAAAAAAGAGAGAATGAGAAGAGAGCAGGGCTGTTGTCTTCCCCATGCCAATTGACATACTTGTTACTTGCCAAGTTCAAGTACAAAATTATGTTTCAAGGTAAAGATGTCGTGAGTCTTATATATGGTCGGAAATAGCTTTTAAATAACTCTGCTCCAATTCCCCCTCCTCCACAAGATTCTCTTAAGATGAAATTCCAGTTAGATGGAGAATCTCATTCACATCACCATCGCTCAAAATCAAGATGAGGCAAAGGTGTGTCCCTGCCCTTCTTTCAACTCATTTACTATCGTTGGCTTTAATGGGCATCATCCAGGTTTGTATCCCTGCACAATCTTCTGCCTGGACATTAGGGAATCTTTGCTTTCTCTTCTCTCTTGCCCTGAGCTGATGGCTTAGCAACCTGTACTCTACTCTATGGGATCCCAGCGGGAGAGATGACTCAGAAGCCTCCCCCTACAAGAGCTGGCTCGGTGCATTCTCTGGGAAAGGTGAGCCCAGAAAGGGGCAATGCCCTGGACAAAAGCACTATAGTAAAATCTCTGAGTGCAGAGAGGCAGAGGACACGGCTACTCACTGAACCTGCAAATAGCTCTGTGCTCTATCTGGACAAATTTTGAGAACAAGACTGATTTGCTGATTGATCTGCCAGAAACTCTGATTTCTCAGTTGAGGAGCCCATGTTCAAATTGTGCAAAAAATGTTCCATCTCAATTGAGTGGTCCTTAAACTAGAGGTAGAATAGAGAAGAATTAGACAAGATGGCATGGTGGCATGGTGGTGGTGGTAAGAGTCTTTAGATATCACATGTGCAAACACACACATGCACACACATCTGTATATTCAACAAAGTCCCCCAAATGTTCGGATAACTATTACTTCTTAATGGTAAAATAGAAAACAGTACTCCCTACCCAAGCACACAGCCCAGGGACACCCTTGGATAGAGCTAGGATTCAGGTCCATGAGTCTCACCAATGTTTCTGCTCCTAAAGCCACTCTTGATTAAGGAGGAACAGCATGGCTTCAGCCATGACCCTTGTAGATGGAGCGGCATTTCATGGTATATGCACTACCACAGTGAGCCTCTTCACTTTTTCTATACCAAGTTCACCTGGGTAATCTTTCCTCAGCTCTCTCTCCTGGAGCCCATATGGGTTGATTCATGACTGATCACCTAAATGTAGCATTCCACATTTTAAGTATAAATTTCAACATCATTTCCAAGAACTGTACCATGAAACAACTCAGGTCAGCAAAGAGATCTACAGTGATATCCCCAGATCCTGTATGGACTTGATCATTGGTTTCTGTACACACTGTTGAAATGACCACTTGGCTTTCCAACACCACAACCTCAAGCTGGGATGCAGAATGCACCCCTTCTCACTCTTGCCACTATCCACCTAGTAACAGTTCTGCCATAAATTCTCTTAAAAAACTTTTGGGCTCACATGATGCCTTTGTTGTGTAATACATTCAGCAAGACATTCCTACTACACAGTGGGGCAGGGTAAGCTATGCAGATAGAAGTCAGAAAGTGATGGGGTTAGAGGAGAGAAATATCGATTGGAAAGAAGCATGAGGGAACTTCTGTATATCTCATTGAGGTTAAATGAGTACTCATAGTTGTCAAAACTTACTAATCTGAATATTTAAGATCTGTGCACTGCCAGGCACAGTGATTCACACCTATAATCCCAGCAGCTCTGGAGGCTGAGGTAGGAGCATCGGGAGTTCAAAGCCAACCTCAACAACTTAGCAAGGCCCTAAGAAACTTAGTGAGATCCTATCTCTAAATAAATTTTAAAAATGAGAGGGGAAGGGGATATGGCTCAGTGAACAAGTGTTCAAACCAAGGTTCAAACCTCAGTACAAAAAAAAAAAACCCTGTGCATTGTATTATATGCAAATTATACCTGTTCTTTTAAAGTTATGATGGCCAGTTCCAGGTAAAGATGGCAACCTTCAGTCATGGAGAACAGGGCAGGATGCTGAGCTTCTCTACTCCACCCTTCCTCACCATCTCTCATCTCTCTGGACCTCAGGGGCAGTCTAGCAGGCTCTCTGCTGTTCAGTGCAGGAGGCACAGATTTGAGAACACAGTGGCTTTCTCACTAGGACTCTGGCCAAATATGAGTGGTAGGGTTCCTGAGGAAGGAGGGATTTGTATGATGGGTGGGTTTCTAGCTTCTCCTTCTCCTTAGTCATTCTCTCCACATTCTGAGCCACAAGGACTCAATGAAGATGGCCCTGGAGACGGTTCTTAGGAGAGAAAAGTCAAATGCCCAAAAGCAACACTTCTATGGCAATATGCCCTGGGAACAGTGACTTCAATGGTGGCAGTCAGGTGCCTGGCACGGAACCTGGGCTCACTGTTCACAGAAGGTGCAGAGGGATCTTCACCTGGCTTCTGGTCATCTTCTTGGCCACGACCTACAGGCCAATGGCACCTTGACACTCCTGGCTGATTCCCATTCTTCAGAGGCCATTGCTTTATAGGGAATTCTCTAGAAGATTCTGATTGCTAATCTGTCTGCTGGGAGCACTCCATCCCTGCTCTCCCACACATGAGCCTGTCTACATTTTTACAGGTGATGAACTATTAGTAGACCAAAAGTTCTATTTCCACTTTTGCTACCCTCTGGCCTCTCACTTTAAACGTCTATGTCTCTCCTTTTTTAAAAAAAAAAAAAATGGGCCTGATAATGTCACCGAGCACTTCTTTCACAGAGAATTTAGAAGCATTAATGAGATAATGACTACTAAGTATGGGGACTTCCGTAATAAATGGTGGCTTTAGATAGGGTCCATTGCAAGGGCATAAGTTTTTTAAATCTTCATGTCATATAGAAATCCATCCACTTACTTGTTCAAACTGTGGAATTTCAAGGACAGAAGAATTTGGGAGAGTTGAAATATGAATGAGTCAGTGTTGGTTTCTGATTCTCTATTTCCATACTTTTCCCCACCATTCCAACCTCCGATGTCACTCTCTTCACTATGTTCTACTACCTGCCATTCTAAGGAGACACTGAAGTTTCTGTATCTAATGCGAAGCATAGTAAAAAAGAGAAGCGGTGCTGTCTCAAAACGATGTCTCTCACTTACAAGGGTCCCTAAGCAAAGGCAGGGAGTATTTTCCTCACCTTGGAGGAGGGATCCAGGGTGCTGAATTAAGAAGAGAACAAAGAACCATAACACTAAGGTTCATTCAGGGTTGGAAAGAATGAATCACACCTCCCGTGTCTTGGCATACTTGAAAAAAGTGACCAGAACCTTAAACAGTTAAGAGACCAGGTCAAGGCAAAGCTTGATCTTAAAAAAGCCACATCTCCTTACCTCTTGGAATACTGATTCCACGGAAACTCGGGCAGTTGAACATCCCCAATACGACTTGTTGAACAGCCCCACCCAAGGGGGTTTTGGCAGAACTGAAGCCAGTGGGGGTATGCAGACAGTATCTCCAAGGGAAAAGCAAGGCAGATGGAGGAATTGACTAAATACTCCCAGAAACAGGAAGCAGGAGGCTACAGCAGTACTTTGCAAAAGTAGCAGCAGTGAGGATCTTCTGTTTGTGGAGCCTGGGTGCTGGGGGAGCACAGGGCACCACTTCAAGCCCTCCTGACTCAGGGGCCAAAGTTCATGTCTTTTTCTCTGAAAACGTGCAGACAAACCTTTCTTCTGGGCTATTTTTCACTGCCAAATGCCCCAGAAAACAGGAACAGAACAGACTTTTGTCCTCTTTCCAACTGCCTATAGCCAAGAATGACAGAAAAGTGGAAGGTTGCTCCCAGATCCCTGCAACTGTAGTAGGATCCACATCAGCCAACCTCGGAAAAGCTCAAGGCACAACCACTTTCCTTCCATCATGAAGTCAGAGAGACCTCACCTCCAAACCGCCCCAGCCTGTGGCTGACCTGTTGCACCTGCCCACCTGCCATGAATTCACTCCAGGAGAGAAAGTGAAAGGTCACATCAGGCTCTCTCCCCAGCAAGATCCCAGAGAATCCTGGGGAAACTGACATTTTTAAAATCACCTCTTTCAAGCTCCGTCAGAGGAGCACAACTTTTAACTCTACCTCCACTCCCAACCCCCCAGGCTTCCTTTGCAATACTTTCCTCCATTGAAGGGAGGGCTTGGCGAGAAAGAGTTAAAAAAAAAAAAAGGTGCACGACTAATGGACTAATTCCCCAAACCCTCTCTCTAATCTACATACAAAAAGAACAGCCTTGCGCGAGATGCAGAAGCCTCCAGCAATTTAGCTCAGCCCTCACCTGTCTTATGCAACAGTACACACACAGACGCTCCGCACATCCGCAAGGCCCGGTGCACAGCCCCCTGTAATTCGGGAGACATAGTTTTGCGCCTTTCTTTTCCCTACGCAGAAGCCAGCTCCACTGGCAGCAGAGAGAAATGTAACCTTAGTGCCAAACGCCTGGCAGGAACACACAGACGACACACAGACACCCAAATGCACCTCGTTGCTCTCCTTGGTGCTGAAATCACATTAGCGAGGAAAGGAAGGAGGCAGAGTGCCCCGACTTACCCGGGCCGGTGCCGGCTGGAGCAGAGCGGCTCCCTGGGAAGGATTCCTGCGTGTTCGGCTGAGCCGGCTGATGCGCTCACCTAGAGCCCACCTCGCTCGCTTCTCTTCCCTTCCTCCTTCCCCGAGAGGAAGGGAGCAGGCTCCAAGACAGGAACGAGATCCGAGCCGGCAGGGCTGCGAGTGGAAGGGGAAGCGGAGGCAGCCCAAATAAGACCAAAAAGTCAGGCGGCTTGCTCCACCAGTGGTAACTGGTCGGGTCAGGGAGGACCCCCGGCTCTTCCTCTCCTGGGTCCGCTCCTGTCTGTCTCTGCGTGTTGAGCCCACAGCCTTAGCACAGTCGGTTCCTGCCTCTGACGTGAACGAGATGAGGAAGCCTGGGACTGCTCTGCTGTCTCTCTCTCTCTCTCTCTCTCTCACGCGCTCTCTCTTTTCCCCTCTTGCTGAAATTTCAGCAGCGTATTTTTTTTTTTAAGCCTCCGTTTTTCCCATTCCTCTGCCAGCAGCCCCCTAGTGGACAGAAAAGAAAAACACCCTGAGTCCTCTTGAACAGTCTGGATTCAGGCACAGCAATACTCCTGCACCCGCTAACTCCAGGGGGCTGCCTCTGCAAAGCCAGGGTCCAGAAGAGGGCAGAGTCTTCCCTCTGGCCAACACTGGCCGGAGGGAGAGAGGGAGGGGACCCGGAGATCTTGCAGATCCTTTGGAAGGAGAAGTAAAGCGGGGATTGGGAAGGGGTGGGGCTTGGTTGGGGACAGAATGTTTTGGAATAAGGCGAGTTGTGAGTTCCTCAAGTAGTTTAAGTTCCTGGCTCAGCAGAAGAAATCCTCCAAAGAGTCAGGTGAGGAAGGTGTGTGCCCAGCACAACCCAGAGACAGCAGAGCTTAAAGAGGCAGGGAATGCAGGAGGCCAAGGAGAACATCTCCTGCCAGCACCCCGTCCAAACCCATAAGATGGCTCTTTTGAGAGCTAGTAAGAAAAAATATCCTTAGATCATCTCAGAGGTAGGAATGGAAGTGACCCTGTTGGGCATCCATGGAGAACCTTGTCTGACAAGGAGCCTCAAGGGGTCACTTCTCACAGGCTCACTCACTTTGAAGTGCACAGTCTCACAGCCTCTGGAAAGTGTCCTAGGACCTGCATCTGCAGACTCGAGCCCTAGTTTCAGACTGCCACTCGTCTACTGGACACTCGGCTTCTCTATGGCTCGGTTCCACTGTTTGTAAAATGTGGATAGTGCTGCCCCCTCCCTACTGAATAGGGATGTGGATGGATCAGAGTGGAATAGAGACAGAACTCAGACTGGCAGGAAATTTAAAGGCAATCTTGTTTAAACATTCTTCTTCTGTTTGATTCACCCTTGGTAAATAATAACAGCTAACATTTATATTTATACCAGGTGCTAGGCAGTACCATAAGCTCTTACCTGTCTTAGTTCATTTAACCCATATGATCATCCTAATGTAAATGCTATCATTGCATTTGATAAACTAGGAAACTGAGGTTCAGAGTGATATAACTAGCCCTAGATCACACAGTTAGTGCATATCAGGGATGGCATTAGAACATGGGACATCTGAACCTGGAACTTTCTCTGATAACCACCATACCTCTAAAATAAACAGAAAATCACAATAAACCATGGTTAGTGTTGCTTTTATTTATGATAAAGTGCCTAGGTTGTTATAATGAATTTATGTGCAGCTGAGGTTTGTTTTTAATTATTTACAACTACTGATACCACACAAACTATCAGAATTGCTCTTCCTGATGAGAATCCCATAAGAAAAAGAATTCTCTTGGAGATTTGGGTAGTCTTACCGTCACAAAAATTATCACAAATCCCATGAAACTGGAAACTATTGGAATTTAGCATCAGGTCAGATGATACATCACTCAATTTCTGTTTCAATAGCAGATCACTGCTGGGTGCCTAACGCAGTGTACAGGTGGAGCCAGCAACCTAATGAGCCTCGTTGTCACCATGCGAGCTAATAAGCCCCCAGTGAGGCACTGGCCCCTCTTACCTACTGTGAATTACGAATTCCTTGCCTAATGAGGCTCACTTTAGTTTTACTTTCTTTGAATCAAAAGTGAGCAGGGCAGAGCCAAGGTGGAATGGGATGCTAAGAAATCCTGGCTCCTGTCTTCATGGAGTTTGCAGCTTCTCAAAGTGGGGAGAAGAGGCAAGAAACAGACCCCTACAGCTCAGAGCCAAGTACAGAGACAGTGGAGGCACTGGAGTGAGTGCACACGGAAAAGCACTTAACCCAGTCTGAGGCCTGCTGGGCTGCCCAGCACGCTGGCACCTGAGCTGAGGCCTGAGAAGTTCTCTCAGCAGAGAGGGGGCGAGAGTGGAGCCGAAGGCGTGAGTGTGCAAACTCATGGGGGTTGGAGAGAGCCCAGCGTGAAGTTTTCAAGGCTAACATCACCATCCCATTTACAGCTGGGGAAACTGAGGCCCAGGCAAGTGGAATGTTCAAGGTCACCCATCTAATACAGATCTAAGCACCCAAAGATCGAAAGCATCAAAGCAAATGTCTTTGGCTCTTATGCTATCTGCTTTGGGGAGGCACAGTGATGGCTTCTCCTATCACTTGGACCCGCATGTGGGATGTTTCCATAGCACAGTCCCTAAGCGAGGATGTGCATCTTCAAGGAAGCAGGATGTGTGATCTGTTATCAGATGAGAAGACCACCAAGAAGGCACCAGGCAGTTCAGAAAAGGAAAAATTCAGGATGGTAGATTTGTTTCAGCTGGATGTGAATTTATGAGGTATATTAGAAAGTGGGACTGTTTCAGAACAACAAAGACATTAGAGACTTGCATTTGAAAGGAGAAGAATGTGAAAAGGGGCCAAAAGAGTTTGAGACAAAGTGGTGGAAGCCCAGAGGAGGAGGAGATCCTGTTGCCTGGACGGGATTATGAGGCCTTCACACAAGAAGTGGCCATTCATCTGGACCTTAAAGAATGTGGGCTCAGGAAATGGTGCACCATTGCACCCAGACACTAAATACATGGAAAATGTGAGCTCTGAGCCGCATTGAACAGCAGTGGGACATTGATTAAAAGAAAAGTAAAAAGTTATCATAGGCTGAAAGATGTCAAGCTTTGGAAGACGAATGGGTTTGGGAAGAGTGGTGGGAAAGTGAGGGTCTTAGCCAGCTATGTCACCCGTGTGACCAAAATACTCAACCAGAATAATTATAGAGAAGAAAAAACTTATTTAGGGGCTTATAGTTTCAGAGGTCTCAATCCATAGACAGCAGACTCCATTCCTCAGGGCTTGAGGTGAGGCTGAACATCATGGAGGAAGAGTAGAGCAGAGGGAATCAGCTCACATCATGATTAGGAAGCAGAGAGACTCCCCTCTCCAGAGACAAAATATACACCCCATAGCCATGCCCCCAATGAGCCACTTCCTCCAGCCACACCCCACCTGCCTCCAGTTACCACCCAGTTAATCCCACCAGGGATCAATTCACTAATTAGGTTAAGGCTAGACCCCCAGTCATTTCTCCTCCTTCTCACATTGACTCACATATGAGCTTTTGGGGGACACCACATCTAAACCAGAACAGGGAGATTGGATAAATTTGGTTGGGACAGGCCAAGTTTGGGGAAGGTCCAAACATGTATAGTGATATAAAAGTCTAGGCAGTGACTGGAGTGTAATCTCTGGAGCCCAGGTTGAGTTCTGGGGTTGGCCAGACCCGAAGTCCATTTTCTTGGACCAGCTTTTTGTTTGGACAGAGGCTCTCCACAGGAGAAAACCAGGAGTACTAAAGACAGGATCTCAGCTCTGCTTTCTTAATCCCTGGATCTGGCTTTATGCTTCCTTAGTCCTTAGAGATAAAATGCTTGATGCTCAGGAGATATCTACAAAATACTTTTTGATGGGTTCATAACAATATGTATTTTTACCTAACCCAAATGTATTTGATAAAAATAATATTGGGCCAAGGTCAGTTATTGGTACCTTCTGTCCCACACTTACAGACAAGGTTTCTCCATCACAATCCTCTTTGATGGTCAATGGATCTTTCTTTCTTTATGTGTGGTGCTGAGGATTGAACCCAGGGCCTCACACCTGCCAGGCAAGCACTCTACCACGGAGCCACAGCTCCAACCCCTCACAATCTCCTCTTGAAAGCTGGTAATCCCTGGCCTCTGGGCTTCGTTTGAGCACTCAGCCCCTAGCCCTCCTCTATATCGGCATTACTCTCCATCCTCGCAGGTAGACAAAATGAAGCATTTCCTCAGCATTCAACTGTCCCCAGAGAATGAGAAGCCACAGTGTGGCCAGTCACCATGATGTCATTTCCCAATGAAAATCTATAGCATGGCCAGCATTTCAGAAGGCCCTAGCATCCACCCTTCCAGAACTTGAGGGTGGACATGGAGACTCAAAAGGCATATCTATGGCTTTTTAATGGAAAAGGGAAGGGACCAAGGCCTCCATTTGGGGAGATGATGAGCCAAGGGGAGCCCTCACTTCCCAGGCTACCCACGGCCAATGTCATAGCGCTGTTCCCAGGAAGAGGTTGGTGTGAAGACCACATAAGGTAGGACTCTGACCAGCAGAGAAGGAAGAGGAGCGGTAGGCAAAGCCATCGTGGCCAGGCAGCCCGCCGTGTCATTTCCCAGCCCTTCCTTCTGACCTCGCCTCCATCCTTTCCCAGTGTCTGAGTTCACTGGGCACCATAGCAGGATCATGACTACTGCCCTCCTGTGAAGACACAAACTGCTGGAGCCAGGACCCGGGAGGGGGGGGGGGGAGGGAAGAGGGCAGGGCCAGGGCAGATGCTCCCCGCTGAGGAGGAGTCGGGTGCTTGAAGAGAGCAGAGTGGGCAGAATGCAGGTTCTTCCAGGTTGGAGACGCTGTTCCAGAGATTTTCCCCACTTCGCATCTTTTCCCCATAGCACAGGCAGGGAAGCGAGGTGCCTCCTGCGATCTTACGTGACTCTGCCCGCCAGCGGGGAGAAGGGCCTGCCCTGAGCCTCCTACTCTGTGCCTACACTCCTAATGACCATAGCCCACTCTCTGCCACACTCTGTAGAGAGGCCAGAAGTGGCATTCTGCAGGCAGGAAGTCCAGGACTGTTAGGCATGGTGACCCAGCAGCTCCCCTAGAGCCATGACACAGAGGAGAGAGGACAAGAGTGGACAGAAGTCTCAGAGCCCCTCCCACACCACAGTCCCTGTGTGGACTAGCCGAGCCTCTGCAATGCCTGGGAGACCATGTCCTCCCGCCACCTACCTTATAGTATTTCAGCCATCCTAGAGAAACTGCCCTTTAGCATAAGGGTGCTGGCCCTCCGTGAGGCTCTCAGGGCCTGTGAAGAGAGAGCAGGGAGCAGAAGCACCAGCACTCGGTGTTGTCATTAGTGGGAACTCCCCCAAATAGTCCGACTCAGGGAGGACGGTCACCTGTCAGGATGCCA